TTCCTTCAGCCTATTTATGTCATGGAAGATTTTTCTTTCCCCTTCAACTATAATAGACATTTTGGTTGGGTATAGTAATCTGGGTTGGCATCTGTCATTTAAAACTGGTCCCGGCTCTTCTGGCTTTCATAGTTTGCACTGAAAAGTCAGCTGTAGTCCTTATGGGTTTTCCTTTATATGTGACTTGTTGTTTCTCTTTTGCAGCTTTCAGTATTGTCTCTTTGTTCTGTATACTTAGTGTTTTTACTGTGATGTGCCGTGGAGAGTTTCTTTTCTGGTCCTGTCTGTTTGGTATTCTGTATGCTTCTTGTATTTGTATGGGCATGTCTTTCTTTAATTTTTGGAAATTTTCTTCTATGATTCTGTTGAAGATGTGATCCATGCCATTATCTTGGGATTCTTCTCCTTCCTGTATGCCTATGATTCATAAGTTTGGGGTTTTTTATGGTGTCACACAATTCCTGCCTATTCCATTCTTGTGCTTTCTTAAATTTTTCATAATCTTTGCTTGAGGGGTCTGGTTCGTCCACTTTATCTTCTAGTCTTGATATTCTGTTTTCCATTTCATTCTTCCTATTGGTGAGGCTTTCTCCTGTTCTTTTTATTGGCTTACTGGGTGTTTCACTTCATTCTTTATTTCAGCCTGAGTAATCTTCAATATTTCTAGTTCTTTTCTGAATTCATTCAGAAGTTTATCCCTATCTTCCTTCAGTTCTTTGATTTGTGTGTTCTTTAAATTCACTGAATTCTTTTATCATGTTTATAATTGTTCTTTTGAGTTGCATGTCCTGCATTATCTCTATGGGGTTCTCATTGTTCTCCTCTAGAGAACTATTGGTGGGGTTATGGGATAATTTATTTTGGTTTTTCATGTTATTTTTTCTCTGTGATTTAGACATGTGGATTTCTTTGTAGTTTCTGATTCTTGTGTGAGGCTCAAGTCTTCAAGTTTAGGTCTGCTTCTTTTTGTAAGCTTTATGTGCCTTTGTGGTTTACTTTTTGGGCATGAAAATCTGGTTCTCTAAGCTTCCCGTTCTCTCTTTTGGTTTTATATTGCAGTGGCCAGATTGCTTTTGTTGTCTAGAGTTCCCACAGAGTCCCAAGTCAAATGAGGATCAGATGTTCTCAGGCTTTTTCCTAAGGTCTGAATCCCTCCAGGAAAGATTTTGGCCTCAGGAATCTGGGGGTTGGACTGGCCCCAGAAAGATGCTGGTCTCAGGCAGCTTGTGGTGGTGACAGTCAGAGATACAAAGGGAGATGGGGGCAGGAAGAGGCCCCAAGGGCTCCTGGGGACTGCACTGAGGAACTGGGTTGGTCTGGATGCAAAGAATCAGGAAGCTAAAAGGTCAGCCCTGGCATCCAGGAAAGAGGCTGGTGGGTAGGGTAGCCCAGGGAAGCAGAGAGAGGTGAGGGTGGGACCAGACCCAGAGGGTTCCTAGGGGCCTCAAGAACGAACTGCTTCTGTCTGGATGCAAGGGATCAGGAAGTAGTGGTGGTCCCCTCCAAGAGGTCAGCTCCGGGGTCCAGGAAAGAGGCTGGCGGGCCCTGCAGCCCAGGGAAGCAGAGGGATGTGAGGGCGGAACCAGGCCCAGAGGGCTCCTGGGGACCCGAGAAGGAACTGGGTTGGTCTGAATGCAAAGGATCAGGAAGCAGTGGTGGTTCCCTGGTGTCGGGGGTGCCCAGACAAGGAATGAATGGGACAGGACCCAGGCTAGGAGAGATGGCTGGAGGAGATGGGAGGGTGAATGAGGCTGGGGGATTCACGGGGCGGAGGGCACGATGGACTTATTCTGGAGAGAGGATGTGAGAGAGGCCATCAGGTTGTGCAGGCCCAGGGAAGCAGAGGGAGGTCGATAAATTCTTTAATAAGGGAATTTTGCTTATAACTTTCAAAGTCATTGCTAAAAATTTATTAATATATGTCAAATGAAAAGTTTATCTTGTTTTTAAGCCTATAATTTAGCTATAATGAAGTAAAAATTCTTTTTTTTTTTTTTTTTTTTGGTCTTTTTGAGACAGGGTCTCCCTGTAGCCCCAGCTGGCTTGGAACTCAACAGGCTCTCCTTGAACTCACAGAGATCCGCCTGTCTCTGCCTCGGGAGTGCTGGGATTCAAGGCTTACACCACCACACACCTACCCCTTGACCCGCCCCTTCCAGACTGGGAGAGGAGGTTTTGGGAAGGTTGGCAATGGGGGTTTGGTCCTCGAGTGGCTTCCCTTTCACAGGGGAAGAGGTTGCAGGGTCCTTCGACACCTTTTTTTTCCTATCCCCTCCGTCCACCCCTCTTTCTCAGAATTCTTGACAGATACTAAAAACACAGCATTAATTTTTATCCATTTCATTAAAAAAGTTTTCATTCACAAGTATAATTAAAGTATACATATCATTTTTAAGGTCTGAGAAAAAAATAGAACTAAAAATTAAGCTTTCTATAGGCAACAATGTTAGGAATTTTCTTTCAATGTTATTAGATATATGTGCTCTTAAGTGCAAAACTAAGATAGTTTATACATATATATGAATTTTATATACCTTGTTTAAATCCAACATGAAACAAAAGTATATTATAAATCCATATATGAGCTAAATCAAGATTTGAAAAAACATTTTTATAAATCTCCAGAACAACACTTAAGGAAATGTTAGAGTCAGGAATGGTGGTACATGCCTTTAATCCCAGCACTTGGGAGGCAGAGCCAGGCACATCTCCATGTGGTCAAGGCCAGCCTGGTCTACATAGAAAGTTCTAGGCCAGCTGAGTATAGAAAGACCCTGTCTCAAAAAAAAATTATGGTGAAAAACTTCTAGCATGGTTATTTATTAAGAATTTATCTCACAAAATGACACAATGACACTAGGAAGAAAAGGAACTTGTATGCTAGCTTTATAAACTTCCTGAACTTAGTTGACATAGGCAGAGTGGGCTTAGCGTACAGGATTTGTACTTCCTCAGAGTAAATAAAGAAAATACCTTGAAAAGCCCATAGTTTTCCTGTCTGAAAGTTATTTCTCCATTCTCCATATACCCTGAGAATCCTGAGACTTCTATAACATCACTCAAAATTGTATGCTTTCTCCCAGGCTTCAGGATTTAGATAGATCAGGTGGGACTTTGGTGGGCAAAGAGGCAAGATACATTCCTGATCCATCATTGGATCCTCATCCCTACCTAGCACTGGGTTCTGTTTATATTAGTAAAAAGAATGTTAAAATGTATATGGTACCCTCTAAGTGTTTACAACTGTTCTTTAAGGACTTTATATACGTCCATATAGTCTTCACAACTGCCTTAATTAGGCAGTAGATACTATTATCACCACTTATGCATGAGGAAATGTTAAAATACTTAATTCATTTCCCCAACGTCACATAATTAGTAAATGGTGGAAATGGAATTCAAACCCAAGCAATGTACTAGTGAAAAAGGTTGCAGGAAAGGACTAAATAGCTGAAGTAAATAATTAACACAAAAGTTACCTTGTTTGGAATTATTCATATTCACTGTAATTACTTTATTTTCATATTGGACAAATATAAAAGGAATGCCTTACCTGTCTTATGATGGAAAATTATTCTGAAGGTTTTATTCTAAAATATATCTAATTTTTCTTAAACAGATTTTCTTATTTATATTTTTTTACTGGATGAAAATTTTAATTTAGGGGCTGGAGAGATGGCTCAGCAGCTAAGAGCACTGGTTGCTCTTGCAGAGGACCCAGGTTTGGTTCCCAAGCACCCACATGGCAGCTTACAACTGTCCATAACTCTAGCTCCAACACCCTCTTCTGACCTCTGTAGGCATTGCACAATACAAGTGTACTTACATACATATAGGCAATACACTCATACACATAAAATAAAAATAATAAATGAAATATTTAAAGTAAATAAATAATTTTTATTTCTTTACTCATGTTTTATTTTCCTTCTTGAGTTTACCAAACGAGAACCTGAAGATACAAAAAGTGCAGATTCAGACCGAGATGTTTTTAATGAGAAGCCTTCTAAAGAAGAAGTCATGGCTGCTACTCAAGCTGAAGGGCCTAAACGAGTCTCAGATAGCGCTATTATCCACACAAGCATGGGAGACATTCACATCAAACTTTTTCCTGTTGAGTATGTATCATTTTTGTTGCCTTACATAGATACCAAGGTAAATGTGTATATGTGTATATTTGAAATTGTTACTTAAAATTGTTTGACTTACAGAATTCTAAACAATTTAAGTATTTGGATAACACATCTATTCCTAAGCTTTCTGATACCTATGTTCTACTAGACAAAGAATCAATTTTAATACATATATTCACAGGCTTATTATTGGGAGAAAATATGCTGGCTATTAAAGTGCTAAATGTGAAGCTGCAGAGGTAGCTCAGTGGCAGAATACTTTCCTAACATGCACAAGGTCCTGAGTTCAGTTTCCAGCACCATACAAACAAGACAAAAACTGTAAAGATATACAAATGTATACCATTATGACCAGTAATTGCACACCCAAATTCTAGGTTTATGGCTTGTTGTAAATGGCTTTCCTCCCAAAGCAAATCATTAAGGGAAGGGTATTTATTTTTCTTCCTGACATTTGTTAGACACCTACTACTTTAAAAGTGAATTCTAATGGAAAACAAGGATTTTAATTTTCTTTAGAATTGAAAAGTATTCTGGGCAGTTTAAAAGTTTGTAAAATAGAATTAGAATACCAAATATAATGAAGTATTTCTGCCAAACCTTGATTGAAAAGGTAATGTCATTTTAAGCATTTTTCACTTAAAAGTACTTACTTTGGGGCCTGGAGAGACAACTGAGTAGTTAAAAGCACTGGTTGCTCTTGCAAAGGACCTGGGTTTGGTTCCCAGCATTCACATGGCAGCTAACCACTATCTGTAACTCCAGTTCATTGAGGTCTGGCATCTTTTTCTGGCCTCTGTGGGCACTGCATGCACACAGTGCACTTACATACAAGCAGAACAAAAACTCAGAAATAGAAATGAAATCTATTTTGAAGTACTTATTTTGAATATAACAACTTGGTACTAAGTAGACAACTAGGTGGTTCTAGATTCTTGAAGAATCTCTCAACTGCTTGATATGCCAATATTTTTGAACCTGTTTCATGCGTACTTGAGGTACGGTTCTCTTGATTTTTGCCTTCTATTTTCAGCTCAACTTAAGGTTGAGGTTGACAACTTGACACACCTGGGAAGAAGAAACCTCAATTAGGGGATTTCCTCTATCAGACTGACATCACCACATGTCTATGAGGCATTTTCTTGAGAGTTCAGTGTTGTAGGAGGGCCCAGCCCACTGTGAGTGATGCCACCATGGGCAGATGGTACTGGGTTGTATAAAAAAGCAGGTGAATCCGGGCATGGTCACGCGCGCCTGTAGTCCCAGCACTCGGGAGGCAGAGGCAGGTGGATCTCTGTGAGTTCAGTGCCAGCCTGGTCTACATAGTGCGTTCCAGGACAGCTGGGGCTACAGGGAGACCCTGCTTCAAAAAGAGAAAAAAAAAGCAGGCTGAGCAGGCGAGAGGAGCAAGGCAGTAAGCAGTGCTCTGCCTGACTTCCCTCAAAGATGAACTGTAACTTGGAAGTGTTAAGTTTCTCCCCAAGTTGTTTTTGCTCTAGGTATATACTCACAGCAATAGAAAGTAACCAGGACAGAACTATTTTGTGATAATGTATACCATATGAAATAATTTCATGAAATATTAAGACTGAGAAAATTTTATACTCTTAGTGATTGTCACTTGGTTGAATTTAGAAGATACCATTTCAATGAATGAGTCCAGCAGGATTCACTGAACCATAACATTGGCTGATGTCAGTTGCCTTTCTCAAATGATCTCCACCTTGTTTTGTAAAATATTTTATTATTTTTATTTTATGTATGAGTACATTGCCTCCTTGTAACCACTTAAGCACTGAATCATTTCTCCAGTCCCTCATACCATTGGTTTTAATAAGAAAATTACCTTTTCCAGAAATCTAGCCCTGTGTGTATCTTTTTTAAATATATATTATTTTTATGGATATGAGTAAATTGTCTGCATGCATACAAGTGCACCTATGTCGTCCATTGCCCATAGAGGTCAGAAGAGGGCTTCAGATCCCCTGTAACTGGCCATCTCTCCAGCCCCTAGATTTTTCAGTTAAGTGGAATATATATTTTTATTTTATCTAATTTTGTCTTTTTTTTTTTTTTTTTTTTTTTTTTGAGACAATGTCTCCCTGTAGCTGAAGCAGGCCTGGAGCTCACAGAGATCTGCCTGCCTCTGCCTCCTAAGTGCTGGGATTAAAGACTTGCATCACCACATCCAGCTGAGTCTGTGTGCGTGCCTGCATACGTGCGTGCGTATCTTAAGGTTCTCTTTAGGTTTTTAAACTGCTAAATGACCTTGAAACACAAATATCATCAAACTCAAATATTAATTAATCATGTAAAGATACAAAATGAGAAAATACTACTTACCTGCCCTTTCAACTTTCTTACTAGGTGTCCTAAGACAGTTGAAAACTTCTGTGTTCACAGCAGAAATGGTTATTATAATGGGCATACATTTCACCGCATCATTAAGGTAATTTTCACAAATTTGACATGATTTAAAGAACAGTATGTTATTATATACCAAGAGGTTTAAGTCTCATGAATCCTTCTTTCACATATATCATTTCACTATAGAGGAAGACAAAAATAGACTGTGGAAGCCAAAAAAAAGAGTAGATAGTCATGAATGTTTAGAATCAAAGAAAAGGCATGTCTACCTTTTTAGAAACTTCACCAGCAACTAAAAAATGGGTAAGATAATGCGTAAAGGGTTTTATTTATTTTATAAATACAGTAATCTAGTAGCCAAGTAGAGTCTAGATCTAGAGAACAGAAGAGCCATAGTGCCATATAACCTTTGAGAACCACTGTTAGACCTAAGGAATAGTGTAAGCTCAGTCCTGGAGTTACTGGTCATTGGCAAGTCAGAAATAGAAGGAAAAATGAGATACTAAAGTTTTGAAGGAATTGGTGCAATGATCCACCAGGAAGTACAGAGGAGGGGAGGGAAGATGAAGGCAATCATATAAGATATTGTATAGATCCTAAAGCTTACAGATTTAACTAGGTTTCTGTAGACTGTTAGGAAAGACTATGCATGATGAGAAGACCTTAGTGTTTTTGTTTTGGTCATTGAATATAGGCAGTGGTTCAACAATGGAAATCTAGCATCCAAACTTAACTTACTATCAATTTAATCTAATGCTAATACTTTATAATTTAAGGAAGTTGGAATATTTCACTGAATACAAAGCATTTTTGACAAAGAAATACAAAACTGTAACATATATATATGATGAACTACTTATAAAAAAGGACAAAGTAGCTGGGCATGGTGGTGTAGCTGGGCATGGTGGTGCACGCCTTTAATCCCAGCACTTGGGAGGCAGAGACAGACAGATCTTTGTGAGTTCAAGGCCAGCCTGGTCTACATAGTGAGTTCCAGGACAGCTGGTGCTACAGGGAGACCCTGTCTCAAAAAAAGACCGAAAAAAAAAAAAAAGGACAAAATATTACTTTTAATGCTTTTTGTTAACAGGGCTTCATGATTCAGACAGGAGATCCAACAGGTACTGGTATGGGAGGAGAAAGCATATGGGGAGGAGAGTTTGAAGATGAATTTCATTCAACATTACGACATGACAGACCATACACACTCAGCATGGCCAATGCTGGATCAAATACTAATGGATCACAGTTTTTCATAACAGTTGTACCAACGGTGAGTATAATACATTGTCTAGGTTATGGTCTAAGAATGTGAATTTAGTAAGAGCTGCATTATTCTTTGTTCTCAGTATTGCTTCTATCAAGATAGAAAAATGAAAACAGGGGGAGGGCTGGAGAGATGGCTCAGTGGTTAAGAGCTCTGACTGCTCTTGCAGAGGACCTTGGTTCACTTCCCAGTTATGGCAGCTAACAACCATCCTTAACTCCAGTTCCAGGGCCCTCTTCTGACCTCCACAGGCACTGTACGACACTTGATGTGCTTACGTATGTACAGGCAATACACTCATTCACATAAAATAAAAATAATAAAGAAAATATTCAAAGAAAATAAATGAAAACCAGTAAGAGATGAAAATTTAAACCATGTAGCAAATAAGTATTTTTTTATTATTTTTATGTGTATGCATTTATTGCCTGCATGCATGTAAGTGCACCTGTAATACCTGGGGAGTACAGAAGAGGCTGTTGGATCCCCTGGAAGTGGAATTATGGACAGTTGTTAGCTGCCACTGAGCCATCTCTCCAGCTCTAGAAAATGAGTTGAGACTTCATAAAACAATATTTTCATGTAGGAAGTCCAATGAACTGTATCTAAGATACTTGAGTTTCAGCTGGGCATGGTAGCGCATACCTTTAATCCTTGGGAGGAAGAGGCAGGTGGATCTCTGAGATCAAGGCCCTGATCTACATAGCAAGTTCCAGGCCAGCTGTGGCTACAGGGAGACCCTGTCTCAAAAAAAAAAAAAAAAAAAAAAAAAAAAAGATACTTGGGTTTCAAGTACCAACTCTGCCACTGCTGATTGTGCAGGCTAAAGCAAGAGAGTTGGAATAATTTCCTTTAACCTGTCATTTATGTATTTATTTATTTAATTTTATGACGTTAAAGGTATTTGAATTCCCAATTTTAAGACAGTTTTTCACAATTTTGTATTTCTCATGCCAGAATATGTTTATATATAATATGCACATAATGGTTTTTTTTAGGCAAGAACTCTACCACTGAGCTATACCCCGAGCCCAATGTAGAGTTGATTAAATACAATGTAAAGCCATCTAGCTCTATTTCTATTCAGTTCCACAAAGTTAGACAAAATACACACACTTTAACAAAATTGAGCATCATACAGTGGGGGAAGAATATTCAGCTATCTGCCAGGCTCACAAACGCATATAATATTCAGTGTTTTCAGTGACACTTTTCTCAGCTTTTAAACTTTATACAACTTGTATTGTTTCCTCATCTAGTGATTTGACCAACATAGACTGAAAATATTCAAAAAGAAAAATTGTGTCCTCTTTTTTGTCAGTAATTCCTAAGCAACACTGTTTAACAACTGTAAAGCATTTGCCCTGTGCTAGGTATTATAGGTACTATGCCATTTTATACAAGGGACTTTAGCTTCTGCAAATTTAGTCTGGTAGGAGGACTAATTCTCCACAGATACAGAGGGATAACTTAATACTTCTATTTTTTTTCCATGTAAACTAGGAATAACATCTAAAAGATGAGTACTTTTTCTTTTAATTTTTCACTCAAAGGACATGATTTAATAAATTGGGGTTTACCAAGATTTTTCTTTTGCTCTCCAATACAGCCTTGGCTTGATAATAAACATACCGTGTTTGGACGAGTGACTAAAGGAATGGAGGTTGTGCAGAGGATCTCCAATGTTAAAGTCAACCCCAAAACAGATAAGCCTTATGAGGATGTCAGCATTATAAATATCACTGTTAAGTAAAATGTAATTATACAACACTATTTTACATTTGGAAGCTTATTACTTACTGAATATGAAAATCATGTCTTAAAAATACAAAACTGTATTTTTATATTTCTAATTAAAGACCATCTTTTAAAACTGACTTTGATTTTTCTTGGAATATTTCCAATCCTAAAAGGTGAGAAACTGAAATGCACTAAATTTGAGCAAATAACACTCCTTATAGGTAAGTTCTCCTAAGACTCAATTTATTATTAGTGACTGGTACACACTTCTTCCTTTACAAAAACATGCCCCTGTATGTTTGGAGGATAGATCCCTCTAAAAAAATTCCAGGACCTGATATTAAATATCACTGTTAAGAAGCAATAGTAGATAAAATTTCAGTAGCCTCTTTGATTCAAAAATGTTATATTCCTTATTATAAAATGTCCTCGAAAGAAGTCAGAACAAATAACTATTTGAATCCTTGTTTTTTTTTAATGCAGGTTCATTTCTTATTTTCATTAGCTTTTTCAAGTGTAGCTGAATAATCTATCTTCTGTCAAGTTACATCTTACTTCAGTCTTAAATATACCTTCAAGAAGTATACTGGCATAAAAATGCTGTATCTAATAGAAATTGGAACAGTAAACTGGGTGTGGTTGCACATGTCTGTAATCTTAGCATATGAGAGTAGAGGCAAGATAATCAGGAGTTCAAGACCTGACTGGATAACATAATACCCTGTCTGAAAAAATAAATTACAACAGTGAAACATGAGTTCAGCTTTTACTGCTTTTATCCTTTACTTCGTTTATTATAACTCACTACTGATAATAGCTGGTTCTAGTTTCCAGACATCCTCTTTCAAAACCTTACAAGAAGAACATACTTAACAGAGCTGGTTCAGGAATTCACATTCCTACAATAAAGAGTAGCATTATTTCATTTTGTACTGAAATCTCTTACACGATAGAAAATATGTTAAATTTTGCTTTAAAAATGAACAGTGTGCTCTCTTTTTTAAAAAGAACTTAAACTTGATCCTTTAAAGACTTTGTTACATATACTTTTTTTAAAAAGATTTTAATTATGGGGGGAGAGGGGGGTATGTGCACTGTGTGCAGGTGCCTGTAAAGGCCAGCGGTTCGGGATACCTCTGGAGCTGTAGTTAAAAGTAGTTGTGAGCTCCCCTGTGTGGGTGTTGAGAACTGAACTTGAGTCTTCTGGAAGAACTATATGCACTCTTAACCATCTCTCCAGCCCCTTTATTTATTATTTTTATTTTACGTGTATGAATGTATTGCCTTCATGTATGTGAGTGCACCCGTGCCATGCAATGCCGTGGAGGTCAGAAGAGGGCTTTGGATTCCCCTGGAACTGGAGTTAAGGACAGTTTGTAGCCGCCATGTGGGTGCTGGGAATCGAACCCGGATCCTCTGCAAGAGCAGTCAGTGCTCTTAACCGCTGAGCCATCTCTCCAGCCCCTTACCTTTTTTTCTTAATTGGAGGTGTTACATTGCTAACCCAACTTTAACCATTCCTAAAGCCTAAATATAAAATTTTGGTAATACTGCCATCAAGTGGTAATGATGATTCATTTTTACAACATTTAAGTAGTATGCTTTGAGTGAAGAATAATAATCAACTAATAAACTTTGATTTCATATAAAAATTAACTTTTGGGGGAGATTTAAAAAGTTATCTTACAATGTCTTTCTGGAAGAATAGTTTGTTTTTTGTTTTTTGTTTTTTTAACTTTTTTAAAGACAGGGTCTCGATGTAACCCCAGCTGGCCTGGAACTATGTAGACCAGGCTGGCCTCGAACTCACAGAGATCCACCTTCTGGGATTAAAGGCATGTGCCATCATGCCCAGCTGATTTTTTTTTTTTTTTTAAATAAGGATTCCTATCTTCAGCAGGCCTCAAATTCTCTATGTAGTTAAGGATGATCTTGAACTTCTGATCCTCCTGCTTCTCCCTTCCTAGTGCTCAGTTCACAAGTACACACCACCATGCTCAGTTTATGCAGTCCTGTGGCTCATAACCAGGGCCTTGTGCATGCTAACTCTACCAACTGAGCTATAGCCCCAGCCTTAAATTATTAAAATACACTCTCATTCTTAGTCTGTTTTATCCTGTATTTTTGGAAGTGTACAGGTGTACAGCAATCTTCCTTGTTACCATTTTGTAAATCAAGAACTTTCCCAAAGTTATATAAACATTAGATAAGTAGAAATACTACTTTTTAGGATACAGCCAAATTTTCGAGCTCTTTTGTTGTTGTTGTTCCCGATGATGCTGGGAATGGAATCTATGACTTTTTGTTAAGCAAGCCCCCTAACACTGAGCTGCAGCTCCAACCCATCAAACTATTTTTAAAAGGGGTATGACTGGGCATGGTGACACACTCCTTTAATCCCAGTACTTGGGAGGCAGAGGCAGGCGATCTCTGTGAGATTGAGACCAGCCTGGTCTACATAGTGAGTTCCAGACTAGCTGGAGCTACAGGGAGACCCTGTCTCAAACAAAATAACAAACAACAACAAAAAAAGGTCATTTAATAAATGGCTTTGTTTTCATATGGAACAAGTTTAAATATTAAGAAGTTCAAAAGTCTTTGTTCATTGCAATATTTTAGCTTTCTCTTCAAAACACTGTTTATATTATATAAATGTGACCCATATTACAAGTACAGAATAACTTATTTCCAAATCTTTCCATTATCAAATAAACTCCATCTCAAATTTTAGAGATAAGGCATTCTCTACTCCTTTTTGTGTTTCTCTTAACCATAGCCCAAATAATGATACTTATCTTTTTTGCAGTGTTAGAAATCAAACCCAGGACTTCATGCCAGGCAAGTGTTTCTACTACTGATCTATACCCCAGGTTCTGAATAACAGCAATGATACTAGATGCATGGTTTAAGAAACAGACTTTTAAGAATAATAAGAGAACTTCTCTTTTTATCTTTAACTTTTTATTGCTTTCTATTCTCATAATATATATAAGTGCAAATAATGGCCTCTGGTGGTTATAAAGCATTCCTGAATTACATACACTTAGCACACCTGCTTTACATAATCATACAATAATATTTAGATGTAATACATAAATTCAGAGCTAGAAGGCAAATCCTAATATATTGTACTTAAAACATTTGTGATTTCCCAGGAGGAACTAGCACAATCATAGATAATTAGTCAAAGAATACAATGATGAACAGTAATGGGAACCTGAAAAAAATATTTCTTGAAAAAAAAAAAGAGATCACATATAAATACTATAGCATATCTACATTATGCACATAGTTAAGCACAATTTTAAAACGATGCTTGGTTATATGTTAAGAATTACAAAGATTAGTGAAATAATAAACTTCTTAACCTACAGGAAAAGCAAGTTCACATGTTAATGTTACACTTCGTTTTTGTTTTTTGAAATTACCTAGTACAGAAAACAGTTCAAGGGCTCACAAGCAAATACAATATCTTTATTTTTCACAGTCACTGAAATCTGTCAAATATTAAATAATTTAATTCCAAAGTATTACATATGCACACAACCTACTTGTAACAGCATGACCATTTACTTTCTTGAAAAACAATGGCAAAAATATTTAAGTATTTATTTACATATTGCCCATAACACTGATGGGTTTTTTCTAATGCTTTGTTTTCTAAAAGTTGTGTTTAAAAAAAAAAAAAAAAAAAAAAGTACATTTGAAAAGATTGAGCCAGAAGAGTATCTCCTAAAAATCACATCTTGTCAGATATCATTGTCCTTGTAACAAATGAATAAGATTTGTCTCAACATCTTAAAGTATGAAGAGCATTAAAAGCAAACAAAAAACCTAACTAAATATAATAAATCATGCTTCCAAAATAAGACTATCTTTTACAAATAAGAAATAGTAAAGAACACAAAATTTAACTTTTACTTACAACACTGCCACAATAAATGTAAACGTTTTGAATGTTTCTTCTTTAGACATGTTCTTCCTCTTTACTGAGACCTTGTCATGAGGAGCCTTGATCCTTTGTAATATCAAGTAAATGCACTTAAATTTGGGAGCTATTTAAATTAATTAGGTAACTGGCATTCCCCACTGTGTGAATAACTTTTCCTAAGGTAGTTTTCTATTTAGGTCCCTATGTATTTATATAAACAGACTCTGGTTCTTCATGTACCTTGCTACATTTTACCAATAAGTCATTGCCACATAAGATGCACTATTTGGAAAGTAATCTGAGTGTGTTGAAAAACTGAAGGACCAATTTAGGGCTCGGACCTAGGAAACAAACCTAGGTTTAAATTTGGAAATGGTTCTTACAAGTGAAGATCAGAAATCGTTCACAGCTTTATTATTCTTTGATTTAGTATTGGTCTGATGATCAGGCCTACTTAGATAATATTTCATTCTCACTGTTTTATGCAAAATGCTTTAAGAGAAAGTTTTAATAAAAACATACAAAATATGTTTTTGATTTTCTATAATTTATAGTTCTCACCATTAATGGTTTTATGTTATAATGAGCTTGAAAGTAAAGCAATCTTATTACCACCCCAATGCAGTTTAGATTTTAGTACACAACTGCCCTGTCTGCTGTTAAGTACTGCAAAAACTGAGTAAAAAGGCAGGTTAAGAAGCTGTACTTCCCTACATTCCGTCAGGCACTCACTCATATTCTCTATTTTTTCACTGAAATAAAGAGCCTTTGTGTACTCTTTCTTTGTGACTACTTCTCTCCCAGTATATGGGCCACATAAACTGACAAACTCCAGTATCTCATGTACTTATTAAGAGACCACATAACCAAGAAATCTCTATTTAAACCAATCTAATCTGCTTAAATTTTGCCAGAGAATAAATTTTAAAAGTAATGACATACCTTAGTTCCCAGATTCTTATATATGCATAACCTAAATTAACTATTACATTTGAGATATAGAATTTCTTAGAATATATTACGTGCAAAGTAACTTTTAACCACAAGCTTGCACAACTGTTGCATTATAATCAAGCAACATCCAACACTCCAGCAGCCACAAGTTGCCGGGAGAGCCAGTCCAGCCCCTCATAGAGCCCCATACCACTTCGAGCATCACAACCCTGAATATACCAGCTCCGGCCACAGCATAGTTTATGGAGACTGAGAAGTTCAGTGATTTCTTCTACTGACAGTGCTCCTGCAACATCCTAAAAGATATACAATTAATAATTTTTAATCAGTACTTCCATCATTTTCCTAACTCTTCTCATTTACTTGTACAAAAATGTATTAATAGCCAGGTATGGTGGCGCATGCCTTTAATCCCAGCACTTGGGAGGCAAGGCAGGCATATCTCTGAGTTCCAGGCCACCCTGAATGTATTGGGAACATTCTAATTGAATCCCTAAAAGTTAAAACTTAGATTCATTTTTCAATAATTATTCTGAGATTAACAGAAAAAATTAAGAGTTTTGGTTAAAATAACATATAAACATATATTAACAAAAACAATGAAATTGAGAGCTATGCAACCTGATTAAAAGTTACTGCCTTGGTCATTATAAGGCATCAAGCTACCCCCCCCAAAGATAAAAATACATACATACCATAAAAAATGCTTCCTGTAAAGTCTACATAATGAAGATTTTATTCCATTTCCCACTCTGAATACCCCCTTGGTCCTTCCCAGGAGCAACAATCAATAACAATTTCTTCCATATTTTTCAAGAAAATTTCCACACTTAAATTATATTTTTTTTTCAATGAGACACATATGCCACACACACACACACACACATACACAAAATCCTTTATCCTTAAAGATTTTGGTTTTTTACTTACTGCATTAAATTTAAAATATCTTCACATTATCAGCACATATAGATTTTGCACATTATTTTGAACATTAAAATTGCATTCTATTGTGTGAATGCAATATAATTTCACTAGTCATATAGTTAGCTCTCTGTATCCATGGGCTCTGCTATCCATGATTCAATTAACTAGATTAAAATTATTCAGATATTTTAGATGCCCTCTCTGAACATTCCTGCCACTACTTCCCAGAAGCAACAGCCAGTAATAATTTGTTGCTGAACAGTACAGACTTTTACTTGTTATTCTCTAAACAATGAAGGCTAACAACTATTAGCACAGCATTTACATTGTATTAAATGTGATGAGTAGTCTATAGATGATTTCAAGTATATAGAAAAATGTGTTTATGTTATGCATAGATATTAGATTTTATAAAAAGATGGGCTGGAGAGATGGCTTAGCAGTAAAGAACACTGGTTGTTCTCACAGAAGACCCGGGTTCGAATACCAGCACCCACATGGTAGCTAACAACTGTCGGTGACTCCAGTTCCAGGGGATCTGACAGCCTCTTCTGTCCTCTGTGGGCACTGCATGACACGGGTGCACTTACCTACATGCAGGCAATACACCCATACACATAAAATAAAAAATAAAAAAAAAGAATTTGAGCATCCAAAGATTTTGGTATCTGTAAGGGGTCCTGAAACCAATGCCATGGATACTGAGGGACAACTGCACTCATGCATACATACGCATAGGTAAGTTTCCATAAATTTACAAAATTGTCTGTAGTATAACGTGGTATATTACTGAAGAATTTCATAGTCATAGGGAATAAACACCTAAAACTTTAACAAGTATTGCCAAACTGTCCTATAAAAAAATAATGTAAGTTTAATAACTACATCAATAGTACATAGAATCTCTGAGGATTATGAACAACTTATCTTCAAAAGCCTGACAGGTATCATACTTCTTTGCATGTCTTCTATTGCAAGTCAGGATAAATCTATCCATTCCTACTAGTTTGCCTGTTCTTTTTATTCTTGGAGGGGGAAAATTCTTCTGCATGTTACTCTCCCCTCCTATGACATTTGCTGTATTCAAATTTTACTCTACTTCTAAGAATAACGACTCTCCTACACAAATCCTTCATCCTTCCCCATTCTACCACCAAATGCTCATTCTACCTCTATAAAAGTCCCTTATCTCCTACCTTTCTATTCCTCTAATTCAAGGTCTTCTTAATGCTCATTTGAATTACCTCAGCAGTGTACTACATTTCCTGTCTTACTTCCTAGCTGTGACTCTGCAGTTTACCCTTGAATTAGTCTTAAAACTTTGGTGTGATATTTTCATGTACTAGTTCAAAAGGTTTGATAGTTTTTGCTTTAAAATAAAATGTTTCTCAGTCTAGCCCTGGCAGGCCTTTACAACATGACTGATCTGTTAATTTAAATTTTCTTCATCCTCTATGTGCACCTTACATGAAACTTTGTTTGATGCTCCCTAAAAACACCACGCTATTGTTTTCTCTATTAAAATTATTTCCTTCGGGGCTGGAGAAATGGCTCAGCATTTAAGAGCACCGACTGCTGCTCTTGCAGAGGACCCAGGTTCGATTCCCAGCACCCACATGGTGGCTACAAACTGTCCTTAACTCCAGTTCCAGGGGAATGTGAAGCCCTGTTCTGACCTCCATGGCATTGCACAACACAGGTGCAATCACGTACATGCAGGCAATACACTCGTACATATAAAAATAACAAATCTTTTTTAAAAAAAGAAATAAAAAATAATTTCCTTCACATACAAACTCAACATCATCTATAACTTCAACTCCTGTCATAATTTCACCTCTTTTCTTACAATGCCCCCATTTATTCTAGGGATTAAACCGAGGGCCTTTTGTGTATTATGCAAGTGTTCTACCACTAGGCTTTATGACCAGCCCTTCATTTATTTTTTGAGACAAGATCTTGCTATGTAGTTCATGCTAGCTTTGGCCTTATATTCATGATCCTTCTGCCTCTACCTTTTTAAATCTTACTTTTTAAACCTTGCAAGATATCATCTATTTTAAAATTGTGTTTTTTCTTTCTTACTTGATCTCTTATGTCTCATAGCAATTTGCTATTATTAAAGTTACTTCTCAGTTTTCTCAACATTAAGATCTAATGTATACATACACACATACATACATACATACATACATACATACATACATACATAAGAATGCACTGTGAGCAATTACTTGACTATTCTGCATAATCTAGGGTACCCAGGACAACATTTTCCACAGCAAAAATTTTATAAATATCTATTGAATTGATGTTCTTTGAAACCTTTCCAACTGATTTATGACACAAAATACACAAAACTACTAAAGTAAGTGTTCTGATATAAAAATGCATTACCTGTTTGTTAGCAAAAATCAGGAGCAAAGCATCTCGGAGTTCTTTTTCTGTTAACAACTTTGCAAGTTCACTGTGTGCTTCACTAATTCTGTCTTTGTGACTGCTATCAACAACAAATACAACAGCTGCCAAAAAATACACAAAAATATTCATTAGTCACTTGTTAAATTTCAGTAAATGAACCAATTATTAACTTCTTCATTATTATATTACAGCTAAATTTTGCTTACCACCTCTATTTTCATTTAAAGGCTGCCTATTTAATGGTAAGATCCAACAATAATTACTATATGATCTTGAGCAGTTCAGAGAACTTCACAGGTTGAATATCTCCCATCCCTGACAGGATTTATAAAATTATCAAACAGACTGATCTGTATATCAATATTTTTCACTTAATGAGTGAAAATGTACTTAAGATCTACCTTGAAGCTACTGGTTCTTTGAAAATTCCCTTTACAAAAGGCAATCTCATGAAAGCAGAAGGGGGAACTATTTCGGGGAAGGAAGGCAGCCAGGAGGAACATGAATAATGAAAAAGCCATAGTGAAAACATTACTTTAAACAAGTATAGAAAAAAAGGTTATCTTTTAAAAATAAGATATCACCATCTTTTCTAAAATATTCCTTTCCTTCAACATTCTACTTTCTGTTATGACTCATAGCAAATTCCAAGCTAATTGGATGTAGGTGTTTAAATACTTCAGGTTGGGGTGTGGAGGCACAAAATGGAGTGAAATGTGAACAAAAGCTAAGATGAATGTTGGGATATGTAGTTCGGTCTAGCGCAAAGCAATGTATATTCACTGAGAGAACAACTAATTATAAATTAGGGACTAGTGCTGCTAGATGATTATAGTGGGCCAAATGTTGAACTGAGAAGTGCACATACACTACAACTTCATATTCTCATGGTGTCAATGATAGTACCCATATGAACACTCATGATCAATTTCAACCCTTAACAACCAAGAGATAAGTACTCTTAATTCATAACAAGCTAAGTACTTTTTATTCTAAAATAATGGCCTGTCAGTAAACTAAAAGTACATGTCCCAGGCTACCATCATCATTTTTTACAAAAAATGAGATAACAGCTGATGTATCAATGTTTAAATATCAGTTTTGCTAGGTAAATCATCATAAGATTTTAAGTTAAAATGTCTTTTTTTTTTTTTTTTTTTCTTTTTAAAGCAGGGTCTCCCTGTAGCCCCAGCTGTCCTGGAATTCACTATGTAGACCAGGCTGGCCTTGAACTCATAGAGATCCTCCTGCCTCTGCCTCCCAAGTGCTGGGACTACAGACGTGCGCCACCACACCCGGCTAAAATGTCATTTTTAATCTTACCTTGAGTATTAAGATAATAATGTTTCCACAATGGTCTTAATTTGTGTTTTCCACCTACATCCCAAATGGTGAATTTTAGATTTTTGTATTCTACAGTTTCCACATTAAAACCTGTTTGAAAAAAAAAGTTACTCTTGTATTTGTGTTTATAATGAATAACACATCAAACACAAGCAACACACTGCTTATAATTTTCACTTAGAAACTGTCTGCTTATAGCAATGTCTACTAAAGCCCAACCAACTCTACTCATAGTCCCATGGGGAATGTAATTCTGTAACAGCTGCTAGCCCTCTACAGTTCACCAGGGTCCTCAGGACCTGCTAGTCCATGTGTCTGCCATCTTCCACTGATGCCCCTCGCCCTTAACCCTCAGTCTGATTCCATAACCTGTCCTCCTTCTGATTGTCCCACCAACACTCCACCCATCTTACTATCTCCACAGTCACATTTCAACCCACAACCAGAGAATCTTTCTTTTTTTTTTCTCTGAAATGATGGTGTCTTAGAGCCACGAAAAGATCCACCAGTATAACAATATCAAATAACACTCAGATTCAGCTCTAAGATAGCTGACCATCAATATTCAAACTTACCAATTGTTGGAATAGGTTGCATGAATTCATCTTGTTTTAACTTAAACAAAATAGTGGTTTTTCCAGCACCATCTAATCCTAATGTTACCACTCGGATTTCCATTTTGGGTCCAATATGGACTCTATTGTCCTGTGATTTTGAAAAAATTAAAATGAAATTAGAAAGTAACTATTTTTACATTTTTGGGGGGGGACAGTGTCAAACCTAAGCTAGGCACAACCTTGCCACACAGGCCACACTGGCCTCAAACTCATGATTCTCCTGTCCCTTACTCCCAGGTATTAGGATTATAGGCATAGACCAACACAATAGGATTCACTTTATAAAGCATCTTTGTTAATTATTTCCATGTCTTGCATTCCTTTCTCAACCCACTGCAATATGAGCTGTATTCTTCAAATCCGCTAAATCCAATATTCTCAAGATGAATTCCTCCCCATGACCAAAACTTCCTTTTAGTAAAACTGTATCTGCTTAACATTTTTAAATACATACATCTGAGCAATTTTTCCAAGTTTTCTAGCTCAAATGAACATTCATTCATTTATTCATTTTTTGAGGCATGGTTTCACTATGCAGCCCTGGCTGGCCTGAAACGTGCTATGTAAACCAGGCTGTCCTCAAACTCACAAGAGATCTGCCTGCCTCAGCCTTGAGTGCTGGAATCTTTTAAAGGCATGTGCCACCATACCTGGCTGAATCTCTTTTTATTTATTTTTTGTTGTTGTTGCTGTTATTTTGGTCTTTTTAAGACAGGGTCTCCCTGTAGCCCCAGCTGGTCTGGAACTCCCTATGTAAACCAGCCTGGCCTTGAACTCACAGAGATGTAGCTGCCTCTGTCTCCCAAGTGCTGGTATTAAAGGCATGTGCCACCACACCCGGCTATTTACTTGTTTTTATTTTATGTGTATAGGTGTTACACTTGCATGTGTGTAAGTGCACTCATGTTGTGCAGTGTCGGTGGAGGACAGAAGAGGGTGTCAAATCCCCTAGACCTGGAGTTATGGACAGTTTTTACTTGCCATGTGGGTGCTGGGATTCAAACCCAGGTCTTCTGCAGGAATAGTCAGTGCTCTCAAGCACTGAGCCATCTCTCCAACCCCCTGAATCTTCTTTTAATAACATCTTTAAAAAATATTTTATTTTTATTTTATGTGTATGAGTGTATTGCCTGCATGTATGTGAATGCACCCATGTCGTGCAATGCCGTGGAGGTCAGAAGAGGGCTTTGAATTCCTCTGAAACTAGAGTAAAGGACGGTTCATAGGCGCCATGTGGGTGCTGGGAATCGAAAGCAGGTCCTCTGCAAGAGCAGTCAGTGCTCTTAACTGCTGAGCCATCTCTCCAGCCCCTTAATAACATATTTTTATACTGTGCTAAAAAATGGGGTGGGGGGGCATGGGAGATGGCTTAATTGGTAAAGTGCCCACTTCAGAACAAGAACTGCGTTTGGATTCCCAGCATTTATGTAAAAGCTGGGCCGAGGAGAGGAGAGGAGAGGAGAGGAGAGGGGAGGGGA